AATTCATTCTTGTGATGCTATAAGCTTAATTTTCAGCATCATTATTCCAGTCTTCAGTGTCACATGATCCTTTAGAAATCATTTTAATATGCTGATTTAGTGCTCAAGAAACATTCATTATTAATATTCAAAACAGTTGTGCTGCCTAATATACATGTTACATATGCTATTAAATTTCTCAAGGATTCATTGTTGAATGGAAATCTGAAAAGAATAGAATTTATTTTAGATATACTTTTTTGTATCAATGTAATCTTTATAGTCTAAATAAAAGTAATTTCTTAAAAAAAAGATAATCGTACTCAACCCAGACATTTGAATGGTAGAGTGCGTTCATTTGCATTCAATATTCTGATGAACAACAAATTATTTATGTTTTTTTTTTTTTTTTTAGCAAGGGATGCGTTTTAGTGTTGATGTGTCTGGAGAGACCAGGGGATACATTCTAGAGGTTTTTGGAGCTCATTTTGAGCTGCCTGACCTGGGTCCTATTGGTATGTACAACACAATTTCTTATTTAATGCGTCTGAATAATATATTTATTTCATTGGCTGCTGGGAAAAGTCCATTAATTTGGTTGTACAATGCAGGGGCTAATGGACTGGCTAACCCCAGGGACTTCCAAACGCCTGTGGCTTGGTACGAGGACCGTACTGTAGCTACCGGTTACACCATTGTCAACAAGTACCAGGGAAAGCTCTTTTCATGTCAACAGGTATGAAATTATCGTGTCATTAGTAATTTCCATTACTCACACTGCTGCATCAATAAAGCACTGAATATTTATGGATTGCACACAATCTCTACAATCCATGGTGGATATGTTTTTAATAAGATCAAGATATCAAGCATTAAGCATTCATTTTGCACTGAATTTATTTCTCCGTGTCCTGTCGAGTGAATAATTGACTTTCTACATCTGTCAGGAGCAAATCAGAGACAGAAAAAGTAGCATCAAAGCAGTATCAACATTGTATCGAACAAAAAAAAAAAAAATGCAGTTAGAGCACATCTATACATTGAACAGACAGGTCCCATTATCTATACTTGGTTTAAATGGTTTACAGTCTTGAAGGAGAAGGTACTGCCTTATCCTGTTGTTTTGTCCTCCAACTGAGAGCTAAAATTGCTTAAATTAGCTTATTATTTGCTTGACTGGAAAAAATATGTTTGTTTTGTGTGTATGAGTTTGTTTTTTTCTTCGTTTTAATAGAGTCTGGTAGAGTTATCCCAAGAACTGTTATGCCTGTGAGATTACAAACCTTGGGGTCCCAGAAACCCCAGGGTGCACAGAGAGTGTCTTTGTGTGACTGAATGTAACAGCAAAAACAGCCGTGTTCTTGTTTGAGTCGCTGGATTTGTGTTTGTGTGTACAGTTGTGACTGATGTTTTACCTGGATGCGTGTACGCGTGTGTTTGTACATGTGGGTGGGTTGAAACAACAGGGGGGCCATGAGGGTCAGGACAGCAGGCAGTCTTTCTTTAATGAATTATATTGATTTTGCAAGCAGCATTCAAAACCTGCCTGCAGTGCTGCAACATTATCAAGCGAAGGGTGTATACAATTGCGTTTTTTAACGAAGACATTGTTTCGCCCTGTAACCTACTATTTCAAGTGCAAGCGCAGAGCAACGTTTTATTGAGGATATTGATCGTAGGGTCTCGGTATTTTGAGTTTGACATCAGTAGCCTATTGATTAAATACTCAAAGCCAACATAAATTAACAATGTGGTTTAATATTACTTGCAGTACCCATGTTTTTGTCATTTTAATTGTGTTCTAATAGGACTTTTCACCATTTAATGTGGTGGCGTGGCATGGAAACTACACACCATACAAATACAAGCTGGAGAACTTCATGGCCGTCAACTGTGTAGCGTTTGATCACGCTGTGAGTAGCCTAATTTGCTTTATTTGAAGTCTGAAAGGGATAGTTCACCCATTTTTTTAAAAAAAAATTGGCATCACCGAGTTCACACTGCACGATTTTTAAAGTAGCCGGTCATTGTTCTTTTCACACTGTGTGACTATCTGGGGTAACATTCAGTTGCTGGTGTGTGCAAACTTCACGATGGGTCGGCAACAGGTTTTACACTCCATGACAAAAGACAAAAGAATCACAGACAACTTCTATCTCGTCCGCAAACTACGTTTCACAACCAAACACAAAATAACGCAAGATCACACGTGCTAAATTGTTATTAAAAAAATGATAGGCTGAAAGAAGATTAAGATCAAAATTGTCTGCGTTGATTTGCAGCAAAAAGGAGAAAAGAAAAAAACAGCTTATGCAGGAGGAAATGGTTGGGGACTCACGGGGAGCAAGGATTGTGTGTTCTACAAAGAGAGTTGGGGGTAAATAAATAATTTTGCAATTTGCTGCAGGTCAAGCACATGTTTTTGCTTTGTTTCTGTTCGTTATATAATTGTAAATATATCTCTATCTGGTGGTCTATAACTCCTCCTCGAACATCCCGCTGTCCTTGCTCTCTCATTGGCTGCAGCAGGTAATCATCACCGATATGTAGTTTTCAGCCAAAACACTTTCAAACAGCAGGATTTTAAATCTCCGACACCTCCACATATTTAGCATGCCAAATATCTCACTCTGTGATTCAGAATCGTGTCTTTGATAAATTCACACTGCGTGATTGTCACTGATTGTGAACGAGCACCGATGTGCCTATGATTTCGAGATAGTCCTCACTGCAGAACATGAAATCCACGGGGAAGAGTCGGATCCAGATCCAACTCCTCCCACCCTACATATACCTAACCCTACCCAGCTCCACCCCCTGATCCCTAAACATACCCAGCTCCACCCCCTGATCCCAAAACCCACCCCTAAACCTACCCAGCTCCATCCGTGATCTATGGTGATCCCTAAACCCACCCAACTCCACCCCTTAGATCTGGATCCGACTGGATCTTGTGTACTGCAATGAGGTGCTACTACTGATGATTTCGGGCATTTGTCAGCTATCGACCATAACCTGTCGGCATTCGAAATTCGGGCCTAAAATCGTTCAGTTTGAACTCGGCATTAGGCTACCCACCCTCATGTTTTTCCAAAGCTGTATAAGTTTCTTTCTTCTGTTGAACAAAAACAAGATATTTTAAAGAATGTTGGTAACCAGACAGTTAACTAGCCACTGACTTCATAGTTAGGGTGACCATATTTTGATTAAAAACCAGGACACTCGGCCCGGCAAACAGATGGGCCTACTCAAATGATACTCGAAGTTTAACTTACTCAAAGATACCTTATTAATTTCAATACATTTAAAGTAGGTTATGCCTCCTCTGTATGGATAGAAAATTGTTATATTGTTATTTGAAAAGAGGACTTGTCCTGAGAAAACAGGAATACTGTGTGAGTCAAAGTCAATGACTATCAACTGCTTGGTTACCAGCATTATTTAAAATATCTGTTTGTGATATAAACATAAACAATAAAAAATAAACTCCTACAGGTTTAGAACAACCTGAGAGAGAGTAAGTGATGACATCTACAAAATCAACACATTTGCACTCTCAATCAAATTAACGTTACCTGACTGTTTATTCCCAGGATCCCTCGATTTTTACCGTTTTGACAGCCAAGTCCACTCGCCCAGGTGTGGCCATTGCAGATTTTGTGATCTTTCCCCCTCGCTGGGGTGTAGCTGACCGTACCTTTCGCCCCCCCTACTACCATAGTAAGTCAGCACTGTTGACCACGTACTACTTGTATTGGAACCAAGTGAAGTTTTAAGCGGTTGATGAGCGCCTTCTATCTGTGCTAAAAGGGAACTGCATGAGCGAGTTTATGGGATTAATCAAAGGCCACTATGAAGCAAAGGAAGAGGGTTTCCAGCCTGGAGGAGCCAGTCTCCACAGCATAATGACTCCACATGGCCCTGATGTCGACTGTTTTGAGAAGAACAGCACAGCTCTTCTTAAACCAGAGCGAGTTGCTGAGGGCACTATGGTAATGTTTAGATGTTTTGTTTTATAATGCATCATGTAAAAGGCCAGATCAGATTTTAAACAATGCTGTATCCAACAGGCATTCATGTTTGAGTCATCCTTCAGCATGGCTGTGACCAAGTGGGGATTGGACACCTGTCAACGTCTAGATAAGAACTACTATAAATGCTGGGAGACATTAAAGAGTCACTTCAATCCAAACTGGAAACCCAACAGCAAATAAAACATGACGTACATGGTGTAGCCCTCAATCAGGTCATGGGGTCTATACAAGCCCAATTGACTTTTACTTAATAAAAAAGGTTCCCTTCATCTTAGTGGAATAAGATTTTGTTATACATTATCTATCTATACACAAACAAAAAACTGGGCTTAATTCAGTTGTTCTGAAAATATGTAAAAAAAAAAAAAAAATGTTTAAACTTCTGGTCTTCAGGGTCCCCACACTGAATGAAGGGGAAATATGAAAAAAAAACTAAACAACTAAATATATTTTCATATGTCAAAAAAAAGAAAAGAAAAAAAGAATAAATCTGAAATTTTACACAGAAATGAAGGCCTAGTCCTATAGCATAAATGCAATGCATCATACAAAAAATAATATTTCAAATGCAAGCTAATGGTGTAGTTGAGGAATTGTGTGGTATATGGATACAAAAGTACTTTATATTTCCAAAAACACAGCATTAATGAATAGATGAGAAGTAAACAAAACAAAATGATATATTATTTGTATGATTAAAAATGTATATTTTTTGAACAAATAACAATTGTTGGGGTCGTATAGACCCCGAAGCCCAGAAGTGTAAACAGGAAACAAAGACCATTTGAAGGTTAAACTCGAGGGAATGTCAGTCATCATAATATTTGATTTGCCTGACATGTCAATCAGTGGTTCACAATGGCTTTAACACTACATAAGAGGTTTCACAATAAAACCTGCTATTGGAATATAACCAATAAAACCAAATTAAATGACAAAAATACAGTGTGATTTCTTATTATTTGTCAATAACAGTGATAAAACAAGTTTCAACAATAAAGTATTTTATTTAGTATACAATTACAAGTACTATTTATAATAAGCAGTGAAATCAGAAAATTCTTTTAGGATGACAGCTTATAGGGGCGCTCATAGGTCCCTGCCTTTATCTTGGCCTCCCTTTTGTCCTGAAAAGATAGGAGGAAAAAAAATCATATAAACTTTGTAATTGTCAATAAGCATAATTCATACATTGATGTGTATTTCAACTCACCCTGTCTGTCTTAAAGACAAAGTACAAGACGAAGAGAGGTAAAACTCCAAACAAGCCACCCATCAATGATGTTCTACCAGTTGCTCTGAAGTTGGAATAGACGTGATTGCCGCGCGCATATATCCACCTAGTAAGAGCAGGATCCTCCTACGAATAAAACACATGGGAGTTTATCACCTGGTCTCAAACACGTCAGGTTACCTACTGTCTGCTGAACGTTTCAATAATGCAATTGTCAGTATTTTAAATAATACTTTGGCAAACAACACACTTAGGATGACGAATGTGATTTTTCTACGTAAAGACAAGTGAAACTGGAGGACCAAAACAAGCTGACAGCATTAATAACTACTAGCCAGGGAGCATTGAAGGTCACTCACTTAGGGTTCAATATTTAAAAATCGATGCTTCTAAAACAGGAATGTGTATTAAATAAATATTTATAATGACATAATAAAATGATACGTTTGTTACCATATGCAATCAAATCGATATAGATTCATTGTAACCGTTTTACTCCATGCTAATGTTTTTAAACTGCTCTGGGGTTCGTCTTACAATAAGCTCTTGCCGATGAGGATTGTTTAGCTGCAACAGATACTGCCTCTTCAGTCGTGAACGCAGAGCCAGTCTAGCCTCCTCAGCCCGCCGGTACTCAGGTGAAAGATTGTAATATTCGGCTGGATCTAATGTTTTTGGCCGTGTAGCCAAAGGAGCCTCTTTGTAGTCCGCCATGACTGCGAACGGCGAACAACACGCCCCGACAAAAAAGGAAACATCTGATTGGCTGCTGTCACATTCAGGAGTCTCGCGGTATTTCAGAACATCTCGCTTATAGTTTTGTAAATGTTTTTAATTCGATTTTTACATTTTCTGTTTTGGGTCATTCTTCATTTGTGGTGGCAAGTGGTGTCCCTCTACTTTACAACAGTTGAAATGAACTTAAGTTTAAATACCAATAAATTATAAAATGTTTTCATTTTTGTATTCTGTAGGATAAACACGATTTGTGCACTATTAATAGATAATTTTTTAGTTTTAAAATACATATTTAATTGAGTTTGAGAGATTGCATTTATAACAAAATATGTATAGGCTATCTCAGAGAGATATCATGGAATTTAATTACAACAATATAACATTTTTAACAAAAAAAGTGGTTATATTATGAATATAGGGCTAGTTTTTTATTTAACATGTACAATTTTAATAAATTGTTTTTAAAAATACATATTTTCTATTATTCACGAAAAAAGTAGTGTTCCCCAAATTCATGTCTGTGGTGTTACATCAATGGATGTCAGAAAAGGGGGAAGTCTGTTTGGACTACTTCCTGTGTGTAAAGGTCATGGCAGGTGCTGGTTGATGGATCTGAGGGGTGCATGGTGAGTACATTTTTTCTTATAAATTTTCTTAAAGTTAGCTAAATTCCTGACAATTTCATGTGTCGCACTTTATTAGTGTCTGTGGTGTTATGTTGATAACTTGGAGATTTTACATATTTTAATAAAAAAAAATTATAAATGCATACTTACTAATATTTCTAGAATGTCCTCTGATCTTGAAATCATCATGATGGCAGCCTCCATTTTTGAAAAGTCTGGATTTAGGCTAATTTCTCTGTGGTGTTACTGTCTTTCCTGGTAACACCACAGACTCTATAGTAACTCCACAGACAATATACCAATATTGTTGTATTTTTAATACAACACACAGGACATCCGTAATCATATCATAATCCTACTCATGATTAATTTCATTATTTTGCTCAATAAACTTTTAATTGTTAAATCTTTTATGCAATATGTCTGTGGTGTTGTATTACATCTGTGGTGTTACTTCAAAATGTATCTGACATTTTATCCTTCAGAGCCATTTAATCTTATAATTCACTGTTTTTAAACTGTAAAATGGTTTTAATATTTTAAAAGAAAGACTAAGGTAGCACAGACCATTCCTGCCTTTTTATGTATATACAATAATAATAAAAAAAGAAACAACTCTTCTTTGGCAAAAATAGGGGACAAGATGAACAATTAAACATTTATTTCAAAAAATGATATTTAAATTATCAATGAAACCGAGTCCTTAAAGTAATTTATTTATTTATTAATTATTACCTTAAGTTGCATATGCCTGTTTATTTAGAACAAATAATCAAAATGTTACTTCAAATATTGGTAACACCATAGACAAGTGGTTGTTTCACCAGTGTTTGATTCAAATTATTTAAAAATCTAAATGTTATTAAGCTTCAATTTTAATTGATATAGAATATTAAACTACTTTTAAATGCACAGCAATACATTTTATTAAAAGAAAACAAACAAGCATTTTTACAATTTCTGCCTCTCATTTGCCACCCCAACTGAAGAATGACCCATTTAGTAATTTGATTGTTTTTGTAATCAGCTTCTAATATCTATTTTTTTTATTTAATTTGAGTTATTTTAGTATTTAAACAAAATGTTTCCTTGGTATCTAGCATTAAATGATTTTAGTTAACGATAATAACCCTGGTGTAACAGTTAAAATATATATATTTTTAGAGAAAATTCTTAATATACATTTAACATTTTAAAACATTTTTTGACCGATTGAAAAATGACTCCATAAGTGTTCATGCCTGTTTTATTTGTTCAAATTAATAAAGCAAATTTAAATATTACAAGAGTTGCATGATGCATTGCATTCTCAGATGTGATCCAGATGTTGTTCCTCCACTAGACGGTCATCCTGACTGATCGGAGGAATCTTACAAATATCATGCACAGGGACACGAGCAAAGTCCCTTTGGTCACTCGTCTACAGGGAGAAAAGGAGAAGCGTGGATACTCACTTTGACCAGCAGAGAGAGCTGCAATGCAACAAAGAGCAGAATGAGGGCAAACCTACGAGTCTTACCTTTAACTATGCAGCATTTGCTGGTGCCCAAATTCATCCATTCATTGATATACCTGAGAGAAAAACGATATTTTCACAATTTATAGTTACCCACATCTATTTTACATAAAATCTAGAACGATAATCTTAAATAGCCTACTTATCAAAATCAAGAGCATCGGTCCATGCGAGCAGTTCATCCACTTCCTGCTCTAAAACTGAATCTGGTCCAAATTGTTGGAGTGAATCCATCGTTCTTTGTGTGGATTTGTGCACCAGCAGAGCTGTTTCGCTGTGTTCTGTACGAGCATGCAGGAGACCCTCAGCATACCTGTGCACAGGGTAGCCTATGTGTATAATTATTATCTTAATAATACCCATTACAAACAAGGTTATTTTAAGTACACATACATTTTCCTCATCCATTCAATTTTTCGAATCTTTTTTTTTCTCTCAACATCTTGTCGCCGACGGATTTTGCAGTGTTGGAATTCAATCTTCTTGTCATTGGTATCTTGAGTCACTGGGTCTTCAAACATGGATATCTATAATCATGAATCCAGTAAAAGACATACAATGCTCAGTCATGGAACAATACTTGAATTTTTTTAAAGGATTGTATTTCAAAGATAAAATGGTCCAGAGTTCGGAATAGTTAAAATTTCAGTGCTTTTGAAAGAGATCTCTTACGCTAACCCAGCCTGCATTTATTTGATCAAACATAGGCCTACAGTAAAAACAGCAATTTTGTGAAATATGATTACAATTTAAAATAACTATTTTCTAATATATTTAATTTTTTAACAGAAATTTCAGCAGTCATTCATTACTCCAGTCTTCAGTGTCACATGATTTAATGATCAATAAATATTTCTGATAATTAATAATGTTGAATTTTTTTTTGCTGCTTAATATTTTTGTAAAAACTGTAGTAAGTATAAAACATAAAATATAAAACTTTTTATATGTATACATTCTATTCAAAAAATCCAGAAATAATGTCACTGAAGACTAATATATATTTAATTTATGTGTTCTATTTAACTTTCTATTCATTAAAAAAAAAAAAATCCTGGTACGTTTTGTTTATTGTCTTGCATCGGTATACAAATGGTAAAATTAAAGTAATATGACTTAATATTACCTTGCCAGACAAAGTCCTCCAGCCATTGTTCTCCACCCGCTGGTACCACCCAGAGTGATCATCCTCATCACAGATGGTCCGTCGGCCATTGTGGATCTGGCTTGGAGCTGGTTTCTTTTGCTGCGTGTAATCTTTAGGACTGCAAGCACCCATGTCCACTATGGGTGCACGAGTGTATACTTTAAAGTAGATGTTTGGAGGATAGGTTGGCTGGAATTTTAAGCGTTTAAGTTACGTATTTGCAGTTTGTTGTAACTTGACAGTTTACTGTTTAACTTCCCAAAAATGTAACTTTATAGGGCAGAAAGCAACTACACATTACAGCATGTTTTTGAGTACAAATAACCTTATGCTGGAAATATGAATAACATCAGCGCTCACCCCACCCAGTCTGAATCGAATAAGGGCCCCTGAAGCAGCATCCAGAATATTGGCCTGCAACAAAGCATCATGCATTTTGATTTTGAAAAAAAAGGAAAAAAAAAAAACAACAACAAACAAACAAACATCTGAATTAAACTTGCATTGTACCATAAACTTACCTCTGCAGGGTTAATAAATCTAAGGAGGAGACGTGGATCCCCTTGATTATGGAAGTTTACTAGTTTCTTGAGGTGCTTGAAAACAGCAGTATCCTACACATGACAAGCACAGTATGCTTTCATTTTATTTGGGCGTTCAATCATATTATGTAACCATGCTGGAGAAACTGTAACACAAAAGTTGACTGTGATCACTAACAACATGTGTCCTCCATGCTCGCTGGATGATCCTAGCTGCTCGGCTGAAAACTGTTTCCAGCTGTGGGACAAGAATGACATTAGTCTCTGATGTAGTTTCCCCAGCTGGAGATGTTTGGTGATGCCTAAAGGGGGGAAGAATGATTGACAGTTTTTTTTATCGCTTCACTCATTTAGAAATTAGTCAGTTTTGCTGTAGTATTAATACCAGTCAAAAATGTTTGTGTGTTCAGTCATTTCCTTGCTCATACTAGCATAAAAAAGATATAGAAAAAAATATTTTTTGAAATGTTAACATGGATTTACATTTAAATGAACCAAACTAAAGGAGCACATAATTTTGCTTAGAAAATACATAAATAATGCTATTTAACTGTTCATCTGAGGCTAAAGCTCAGAACCCTGATTAAGCCTTTCCCAGGAGTGGGAAACTGGTTTATTCAGATAGGATTATAAGGATCTGGATTATTACATGACTCCACACAGATACTCAATTAACAATTGCTTCTAATAAAACACTTGTATTCAGCCCACAAAATACTACTTACTTGATCTCTGGAGTCCTATTCATCTTCAATAAGCAGATTATATTTACAAATATAGCATACTCGAATGAAAGGGTTTATTAAAGGTGCCTAGGCAATGTAACTAATTAGGACTGTAAAGTTAAACATGATGCCAATCCATCATGCGAACATCGACAAGTAAAGAGTAGCTAAAGTAGGCCGAATTGTGAGTTTTCACAATGGTGTAGACTATTTAAAGTTTAAAACGTAGTGAGTGCTAAACTACAACCAAATAGTAAGCTAAACAATAAGAGAGTTAAAACAAAATGAAAATATTGCTAGCTGAAAGTGTGACTGCACACCTACAAGAGCCGTTACCAGAGCAACTGAAAACACAATGCTAAAAGCAACACATGATTTCTATTACAGTTTAAACTAAGTCTTTTCGAATTATTATTATGGAAAACTACGTGAGGACTATGTGTTCTTCTATTAAAACATTGATTTAAACATGACAATAATGCAGGATATGTAATCATAGTGACGCGATCTTGAATACGTTACCAAAAATGATTCTTTCAGTCAGTGGCCCGTTCAGCACCTTACATCGTAACGTGAGTCGGTGGCGAAAACAAGTGTCTGAATAAGTAACCTTTGTTCAAAAAACAAACAAACAAAAAACAATAGGCCTACATTCAAACTATTTATTCATTCGTGTTGTACGTGAAATGTTCCACTTCCTTCACAGTCCCCATTGTTCTATGCTCGCCTCGCGCTGTTTCAAATGGCCAAATTATGTGCATCACTATCAATACCGTTCACTGTGCAATAAAATTTAATCTTTTTTTTCACCCCAAAATTAAAATTCTGTCATCCTTTACCCTACCTTTTTTTCACCCTTATATCATTTAAGGTTGTTCCAACCCCATATGATATTCTTTCTCTTCTGTTGAACACAAAAGGAGATATTTCGAAGAATGGTAACCTACCAGACAGTTGACGGCAGCTATTGACTTCCATAGTATTTTTTCCTAGTATGGAAGTCAATGGCTACTGCTGCTTACAAGACAGTTGACGGCAGCCATTGACTTCCATAGTATTTTTTTCCTAATATGGAAGTCAATGGCTACTGCTGCTTGCAACATTCTTTTAAATGTCTACCTTTGTGTTCAACAGAACAAAGAAACGCATTTACATGTTTCGAACAATGTGAGGTTGAGTAAATTATGCCAAAATTATATTTTTTTGGGTGAACAATGTCTTCAGGGATGGCATGTTGACAAGACACAACAGAGTAAGGTTGTTTTAATGAGACGTTTCTGTGTTATTATATATTTTTATGTTTACTGAGATAAAAACGGAATGTACTTTGTACTAATCAAAGTATTAAAAGATTAGCTTAGCATTTTAACTTTGCAGACAAAGTTAAACATTTACAAGTTATATTTTATTTTACATAGTTCATTTTTCACATATGTAGTAAATATATTACATTTTCATAAATATCACAATATTGTTACTAATGATGACATTCAAAAAACAATCTTACAAAAAAAAAAAAGTTAAAGCTACAGCCCTACAGCCTTTAGTAGTACTGTGTTGTGATCAGTGCTGCAATTGTCTTATGGAAGTCCCTTAGGCTCTAGGGGAGAATTTATTCCCAGACCCCCTGCCCAGCATAATAAATTACAATAAATGAACCATTAAGATTGCACTCCCAAAGCCGAGTTGCACACAAACATTTATAATTACATTATACAGCAAACATTGTTCTAACATTGGTCTTTTGAAAAGTTTATGAGAGGTCACTTTAAATCTCAAATTAACACACTGTGGATTTTGCATTTGCCAGAGTCCACTACTTTTTTTTTTTAATAACATTTACTTTTAACAATAACATTACATGTAATGTCATAATCTGCATAGAGTTAGTCATAACTGAGGTGGAATCACGATGGCACCCTAATGTTGTAGGGGCGACTATTTTTCTGTTCTGTTTTCTGACTCTTTTAATGAGGCCGTATGAGTTAAAAAAACATTCAAAAACATTTAACAGTTGTGGTTCAGCTACTAAGCTGACAGGCTACTGACTATAGACTGTCTGTCAGTAAAAGTATGTATTGTGACAGAAAAGCTGTGCTTTTAAATACACTGAAACAGGAGGCAGCCCTCAACAAAAGGAAAGATGTAAGAACTCACCATTTCAGAGCCTCAAGAAAATATCAAAAACTTATTGAAACAACAGTGCATTGTTCTGTATTGTAAATACATTCATAATTAGATCAAACATGGTTATCCTCAAGCACTGTAGAGTAAAAAATCCCATAGTATTTACAGCATAAAAAAATGTATGATAAATGAAAGGTTCTAATAATTCTGATATAATTATAATTCCTTCTATTAATATATGTCCTGATTCCTACTTGTTTTTACAATTTAGATCTGTTGGTTTAATAGAGGCCTAATTTTGCTGCAGCTTTTCCAAATGTACGTAAACACATCAACAACATGGAATTGAAGATAATTTTCTCCTCTAAAGTTCTGTTTCTACCTCATCATCACCACTGTCAACATAATATTCATCATCTGTTGTGGTGTCAGAACCAGACTCCTCAAAAACAGCCAAGCTGGTTGAGTAGCTCCTAGATGGCAGGATACTCCGAGAAGGAGAAAGATTTTCTGGAGTTGTCCTCGTGATGGAAGACATAGCAGGAGCCTGGGATATCCTTCGAGGTGAAGAGGATGAAGTTGGTGATGGAGGGGGGGTTGGGTCAGCATGATCAAGATCATCTGTATATCTAGGTTGAGACTGTTTACCACTGATAGATCTAGACTCATAGCTTGGGGAATAGCTACTCAATGGAGAGTCAACTATTGAATAATTTTCCTTTGGCACCAAGTCATCCAAACTTGAGAGGTCGCTAACGCTGCTTGTTGATATTCGTCCAGGACCCGATGGGCGGCTTGAAACTATATTGCTGACTGAGAAAGATCGTCCATTATGCAGACCATACTTTAAGTCAGCACACGACAAGGACAATCGAGACTTCACAAGGTTTTTCTGCTCTGAACTCTTGGCGGAGCTCAATGGAGAGAAGTCATCAGACTCAAAAAGCGAATTCGTTTTTTTGCTCACTGGACTATAAAACACATTGTCACTCTGAGTGTCTTCTGAATCAAAATCAAACAAATAAAAGGGTGATTGGGGACTGAGGGAGGATTTTCTGTAATGTGGCAAGGTGGAATAATGGTTCATATCATGGGCATTTAGCCTGTTCAGACTAAAGCTCCTGCTATAAGAGCAGTTTCCATTTTCATCATTATTCCTCTTTTGCTGATTACCATTTAATTTATTCTCAGAAGATTTTTTTAATGGTGAGGGTGACAAGGACCCAAAAGTGGCAAAATATGCTTGATCAGTGCTCAAAGATGAGTCAGGGGCCTCCCACGTGCACCCAGAATTACTTTGTTCAGTTGTAGACCTGTTTTGCAAATCCATATTTAAGGTATTCTCATATTTATTAAATGTTAGTGGTGACAAAAAGTCTTTATTGGATGTTAAAGAAGAGTTAGAGGCCCCCCCTTGGCTTCCAGAATATGTTTTCTTCTCGGCCTTGGATTTTTCAAAAGTCTCAGATTCTAAGTGTTGCTGGGTGGGGGGCTTGTTCTTTTTCGTGATTGTGTCAAGTGCGCCGTCTGAACGTTTTACACCAAATGTCAGTTTTAAACGATTTAATATCTGGTCTACCCTGCTGCTTGTTTTAAACACTGGCGAATGTCTTTTGGTTTTTAAATACTGGGGACTAACAACTTCTTTGTCTGGCAAAGACGCAGAAGAGAAGGCATTGTCTTTCTTAACTCGTGAAGCAAAGAGGCCTTTCTTTGAATTGGGACTCTGTATTTCCTGCAATCTCTCATGCATATGCACAGCTGCAGTCTCTTTCTCAGCTGTAAGTTGAGTCTCACTTTTTACTGTGAGCTTATTCAGTAGTAAATCCTTCTCTTTCTCTCTCAGTTTTTGCTTGGGGTAAGCAGTACCCTTATCAAGATGAAGTGCCATCAAGCCTTGTTCCTGATGGGGTAAGTTGTTCGAGCCTGTGTTGGACTGCCTTGGGTGTAGGCTTATATTTGCGCTTTGGCTTTCCATGACAAAACTTGTATCTTGTGCAGGTTGTGAGAGGCATGGCTGGGCAGGTCTGTGATTATCTAGGGTGCTTGTATAAGCTTGAACAGCTGTCCTATGTTCTATGTTAGGTGAAGCTAATTGTTCCCTTGGTCTCCTTGTTATCCTTGTGTATTTCGATAGTGAAGTGCTTGGGTCATCTTTTATAAGGTCAGCGTGAGTTGTTACAATATCATAAGATGTAGATCTGGTGTGTGTTTTAGACACAGGTGGAGAGGACAGTCCTTGTAAAGTGTTGTTGAGTGCAGGTCTTGAGGAGAAGAGGCTAGAATATGGAGAAGTGCTGAGACGAGGTGTTGATCCTCTTCCAAAATCAGGAGGCAGAGATTGAGCTGGGGCTATATGAGAGCTGGAGCCATAAGAACTTTGTAATGCCAATGGGTTGTCGAACGAAAATCTTGAGGGAAATATCTTCTGGTCACCCTGTAGTGTTACGCCTCCATCTTGCATAGGAGGCAAAGTTTTAGCTCTCTGTAAGGGGGGAGAATGGGTGGAAGGGAAGGGAGTGGATACAGCCGGGCTGGACTCTCGAAGGTATGAATAGATGCTTGGTACTCTGACACTTCTGGGAGGTCTGCTTGGAGAAAGAGGGCTTGAAAGATCCATCGAGCTTTGACTTGACTGAGAATGTTTCTTAGAGTCCAGATATATCTGTCCCACAGTTGTTGGGCTTATTCCATCTACAGAAGAGTCTTTCCTAGGGGAGTAGTTAAGCCTGTCTGTGAAGGTGCTTGTGGCCAAAGAATTGCTGGCCATTAAATTTTGTGTGCTTTGTGATTTTAAATTTCGAACATTAAAGCTGGATTGTTGAACATTAAAATTAGTTGAATCTTTGGGAGAAATTGTGGTGTGTGGAGTTATTTTTTCTTTTGTAATATTGAAGGTTTGCAGGGTGGCATTGTTTACATTACTTTGTTCCACAGGATCAATGTCCTCTGTACTAGAATATTCCCTCAAAAGAACTAAATAAGAACTCTGTTGGGTTTTGAGAACCCCAATTTGTCCCGTTCTGGTCGTGGATTGTGGTAAATGTTCCTCCTCTGCTCTGGCAACAGAAGTTTCCAGTCTCCTTGAGATTTCTGTCTCTGGTTTGTTTTGTAACAGCGGTGTCCTTAACGGCACTCTACTCTTATTTCTTGATGAGAAAGGGAATTGACTGACTGGTATTTCCTCTGTTCTTGTAGGAGTGTCTGGGTCTTTGCTGGTTTTGTCCTCAGTGGTAACAGAATGGGCAAACAATTGAGTTTTCAAAGCAGTCCTGCTAGGCAATGTAAGGGTTCTGACAGACCTTGTTATCGGAGTCTGTGTTTGTGTGGGCTCATCACTGGAGCTTCTCAAATGTGTCCTCCTTAAGGAGAGAAGTAGGCTGCTTGTTGTTGGCTTGGAGCTCAATGACTTGAAAGGGCCATGTTCCTCTCCAGTTTTGGATATTCTGTACCCTGAATGGGCTGAATTTGGTGCCTGACAAGTGTCAAGAGGTGTGGAAAAAGGATATAATTCTGTATTGTTGTACATCGTGCCCACAGAGGATGATTTTAAAATGGGTCTCTTTGTCTGTACTGTGGTTGTGACATTCGGGGAATTGTTCTCTTTTTGCCAGTCAGGAGAGTTAAAGCTGGTTCCAGCAGTTAACTGCATTTCATTATCATTGGCCAACACGTGTTCTGATGGTTGCCTCTGGGAAGGTAAAAAAAGTTGTTGCTGCCAATCCTGGCGAAATAAGTTAGATGGGTTGATATTCTGTCCAGAATTTTGGGGTACGTACTCAACTTCATTGCTGTCTTGCTTGGGTCTTCGAAGACGACTACTCCAAGGTGGAGCAAGAACAGAGGCCAGGGCAGACGTCAACATAGCTGATGAAGGATTGTAAAGACTAGGTTCTGGATCAAGAGTATTTTCAGAATCAAGTGCAGTAAAAGAGGCTAATGACAAGCCTGGTTTTGCACTTCTGCATGGCACGAAATAAATTGGGAATCGGTGCTTGCTTTTAGTCCACTGTCCACGACAATGGGGGTCAGATTACTGTGGTACAGTTGAGTTGCTGGGGCGTTCTCTCTACAGTCGTTGGCTCCAAAATCCTTGTTGACTTCTTTTTGTACCTCACAAACAGGTTGAGTAGAATGACTTTGGGAGTCGTGGATTATTCGGGTTTGCTCATGAAGGCCTATGTTGTGTTGTATTCCTTTATTTTGTCCCTGCTTAGTTGTGTTGGGTACATGTTGATGCAGAGTGTTAAAGTGGTCTTCATCAAAGGTTGCTTTTGGCCAATCCCCATCCTTAAATAATTCACCAGTTGATTTGCCACATTGCTCTGTTGGTGAAAACACGTCCCTTTGCTGTAAGAACAAGCAATAAAGGTTTTGATTAGTGTTAAAATTAGAACAAAACACAGGCTCTAATTCAAGCACAGTAGCATTTGTACTTTTTACACTACTAAAAGGCATTTCAGAATTCCTTGGGTAAATTGTGAGAAATACTTCTCACATACATTTGAACTATTTGAACAAATTGCCACTCCCATTCCATAACTCTTTAAACAGACAGATCAAGTTCACATTTGAGCTTTACATTCCACTGAAACGTACTGCAGAAATGTATTCAAAGGCCAGTACAGAAAAGAAAGTTTATTATATTTAAGCAAAATATGATTGAGTAGCAAGTCATAGATAAATTATTCTCTTACTAAAAATATCATTCTCATATGCCTGCATCTTAGTTTGGATGCTTACCTCTGTTTTGTATTGCTTAGCTGTGTTCTTAACCTCTTCAAGTGTGCTGTAACTGTGAAATTGTGAAAATAATTTTTAATAAGCATATGATTTTAGCAAACATTGAAAAGGTAGGTAGATTGAAACATCACTTTTCACATTACATTTCACTTTTTTTAAATTACAGCAATTCACAATGATAAGTTCTATCAGACAGATAAACAAAGATGAAAAACTGTGACGAAAACAAAATCACTTGTCCGATTGAATGTTTTTCACGTTATTATTACTCCCTAAAAGCTTTTTTTGCTTCAATATCTTCAATGTAACACAATGCAGGGAAACAAGATCAACAACATTCCATCCTTTCTCTCACTTAAAGCATTATAGGGGTAAACAATTCATTGGCCAGACATGAAGGGAGGGGTCCATGGTTAAACTGTTTTATAATTAGCACAGAGTGTTTCACATACATATATCAGATACATACATACACACACACTCACACACACACACACACAAAAACCTGTTTAAAAGAAGAGAGAGCAGTTATGTCATACTATTTAAAATAATATACTGTAATACTGCTCAATAAATGTCAATTTACTGTTTCCAAGATAAAGGTGTAAGCACTTTATTTGAACACACCTAGATACAGTACAGCCAAACAGAAAACCTTTGGCGACACACTTTCATGCTATCATCCATGGTCATTAAATTATGACTTATTGCTATATAAGGACTATTACTGCCAGTCATAGGTTGAAAGGGCGTTTGCTGTTCTGGCTAGACATAGAATGCAATGTGCTATGGCATAATTTACATGACATAATATATCATTATATCCAGTAAGAGTGAACTCAGTGGAATCAAATTTTCATAAAAATGTTTTTAATAGGAAGACAAACCGTTGGAGTGAATGCAGTGAAGTTTGGCATTAATTGAACTTGTATACTATTTTTTAGCAGCTGCTTAAATCCAGGGATGCCACAATATTAAACAATAAATATATATTGAATATAACAATAAATATTTTCATGTTAGGGGCGATAACTGATATATTGCTGCTTAAAATGCACTTCAATTTAGTCTAAATATATTGAAAATAAAACACCAAAATCAATAGTTTTAAATGATAAAGGAAAATTGGAAATTCATTTTGAAAATTGCTAAAATATTACATTGAACAGTGTTATTTAATGATCTAATATATAATACTTATAATGACACTGACATTGCACATCTTTTTTTAATTCATGTGAACCCTCTACAGCTGTGTAAAAATGTGTTGTTGTTGGTTTAAAAAAAAAAAATAAGAAAAAAAAAAGTCACACTCACAGATTAGTTGTGGCTTGCAACGTTTTTTTCTCAACTGTGTCTTTTTTGCATCTTCTGATGGGAAGTCTGATAGAGATGGTGGAAGTGAATCTGTCAGATTCCTTCTGTTCCTCAGATGTCCTACCGGAGTCTTTCTTAAATCTCAGCTGTATTATCTGCTTGATCTGCAAATCTGATCAACAACAACCCCAAATGAAGAGAATAATATCACATGTAATGTATAATCTGGCCATATAACTCACTCACTTTTGCTGCTTTTCTGTAGGCATGTTATTGGTGGTGGTGAAGATGCAGTAGTTCTTGTTTCTAAATCCTTCTTGTTGTGGATGTGTTGAGCTGATGGTCCAGGATGTAACTTCTCTTGTTCACTTTTATTCTGAAAACTAATCAAGCTTTGGCATTATAATACTGCTACAGCATAACCTACAGAGAGCTGGAGACTGCTTCACATGAAATCCACATGTCTGTATTTGCAACTACTAAGTGAAAACATTTCAAGGTTCACTCCCTTCAGAAAAATTCTTCACAGGAACACCCACAGATATTTTTTAGTATATATCGACACATGACACTAACAGAGAATTTTCATGATTTGTTTTGTGCATGTGCAACTCTACATGAGCAAAGAAAATGATTAGTTGCTTAGCTTAAAAATAAAAAAAGATAATTAGACAACATGGGTGTAACGAATTACACAAGAGCTTAAGTATTACCGTAAACATGGTGAGACATGTTCAGCAAAAGATTAATACAAGTGGAAACTCATTAGATGTTACGGAGGCGTGTTTGAAATCATCTGAAACAATAAGAGGAAGTCAAGCAAATATCTTGGTAAAGATATTTAATTTAAATCCTTGATTATTTAATATAGGCATTTCTGATATGTGCAAGCAACAGCAGGTATTATATAATCAGGTATTATATATAATTATTATATAATTATACAATCCATTGGCATTTTGCTATATTTTTTTGATTGTAGAGCATTAATTAGGCTACTGAGGTAAAACTGGCGGATACTCTTTACTTTAAGTAAACTTCCATATTGCTATCTGTGTAGGAAGAGTCCGTTTAAGAGAGAGAGAGAGAGAGAGAGAGAGAGAGAGAGAGAGAGAGAGAGAGAGAGAGAGAGAGAGAGAGAGAGGGAGGGGGGGAAAGTAGTAGCCCATTTGTGTGAGAGAAACAGAAAAAGAACGGCGCAAGTAAAAACTTTATAGCCTACCGTGATTTGTCAGTGTGTGTGTAAAATCTCTCCTGATCTGAGAGAACGCAAGTCTCGCTGGCTTTCACTCCTCTTTGACAACTTGACTGCTGCAAATTCACATCATGCGTTGACATTATAGTCTGATTCTATCTGGCTCGTCTTGTTTGGTTACCTCCCTTTATGCCCGTCGGGCATCAGCTGTACCCTCCAGTGCCCTCAGAGGCGGCATTCCAACGGAGAAAAGCGAGCGATTTATGGTAGACCAATCATAGTGGCACAACCGTATGCGCACAACAGACGCCGCCCGTCGAATGTTTCTTTCCCGCCGAGGCATGTGTTTTCGAGAGCAGAGTCGCGGAAGTGAGCATGTGTTTAGCAAACAAACTCCGTACTTTGAATTGTCAAGTTTATTACGGGACATATGAAGACAGTGATAAGCATCGACAACTTGACACAACGTTGGGAATTGATTTATTTTCCTGAATCATGTGAACGTGGATTTGGATTTTGGACTTCCAGCTAAGCGACAAGAGCTTAATTTCAAAACTACTTAAACTTAAACGTGTTATCTAAGATGACAGATAAGCACCATAGCGATAACTGAACAATATTACGAACGTCTTTCCATCATTGTCCGATAGGTGGTCTAAACAATGGTGCAAATTTCGAGATTCGATTCTTTAGAAAAGTTCGTTTTAAAGAACCGATTAAAATGATTCAGAGATTCATTTAGCCTAATAGCGCAAGTAATTACGTCACTGCTGCTGGCTGGCATACGTTGCATATGCTTTCAAACGTTTTAATAAATTATATATAGGCTATGTGGACACGTGCTAGTTCAATAGAACACAACTTAATTTGTATCTAGTTGTTAGCCACTACAGTGATTTTCATCACACAACACATTATTAATTTAGCAATTTTATTAGTCTAACATTTTTGTTTGGATGATATTAAAGCAACTTACTTTTTGCCCCAGTCAAATCATAAGTTCAGTCTAAATGCTCTCAAGGTTAGTCTGCTTTGGTTCTCGGTTTATCTTTGAACTTCAGTTCAATGAGTCAGTGAGATGTTGATTCGCGAACGGCTCGGACTGATTCGGACACTCGCTGGCGTTTTAGAGAAATTATTCAGTGAAAATATCCGACTGGAGAAACATTCGCTGCATGAATCGGACAAGAGCACTCAAACAACAGTCATGTAAACAAATGTGTTTGCAACTGGGATTCTACCTCTTATTAAACATTGTGATGGGAAAATAGTTGGCTATAGGCTACTCTCAGCATTAAATTAGACCGAACATTTCTGTAAACAAAATAAATGTTTATTTCCCTTAATCAGTTTGTCAAAGTGCAGCTGAGGTTTAGCAAAATAAGTGGTAAATAAAATGGAAAGGAAAATCAATCTTAATTAAGATTTTTTTTTTTTTGGTCAGTATGGTAATCAAGAATGATTGTTCGTCAGGCATTCTAGCTCTTCGGAAAAGATTGATTGGCCGAGAGCAGTATTCCTAATTATTTTATGTAGAAATAGCCTACTAGAGGTCTGTTGAATTGCTTAAGGGTTTGCTTTGCAGATACACATACACAATATTGACATGGATAAAATAATTGATGAATCACTAATCTGTGTGTTTGGAGGGGAGGGGAGGGGGAGGTGTTTTATAAAGATTTGACATGTATTTCCAGAGAAAGACAAAATAGTCAGCCACTGCGATTATAAATCTTGTCATGGAGTGATGCTTATCTCGATCCATTATAGAAATGCAATTTAGTTCTGTAATAAAATCTAAACAGTTTTAATTAACTCTGCTGATTAAAACAGAAACCAATATAGTGCATAAGGGCATAACTTGTATGACAAATTCATCTTTAGCCTAATGTCTTTCAGGCTTTTGGCACAAGCTCAGTTTTATCATGGTGCTGGTTGTAGTAGTCCGTTAGCTGAAGGGAGTTACATATTTCATGGATAGCTTGTCATCTGCTCTATAAATCAACTGCCAGTGCTGGAAAATGCATTATCTCCTGGAAAGATTATGACAAGGCCAATTCATAACTGTGAATTGATTTTTTTTAAACGCTGGCTGCAATATGACAGTGTATTCAGAACATGTATTGTGGTGGTTAGCATAATCGAGGGTTTATATGTTCCTGAAATAGCAATCACAAATATAATCAGCAAATCAGACAGACCTACTGAATAGAACACATTTTGCTCCAGGTAATCAGTCACTCAGTGCTTAACAAAATGGGTTCACACAATATCAATAAAAAGGCATATCTGTGGTATGCATTTTGTTTATATTTTAATACTATTAGAGGAGGTGAATGAGGAGTATATATAATCAGAGCATAAATAACCTTCATCATGGCAACAGAAAAAATAATCTTAAACCAAATAAAAATGCATTGATGCAAAACTGATAGACCTGCAGGTTAACCCCCTCAGACCTGAATTCTGTTTCAAGTTTTTGAAAAATATAAAAGTACATTTTCCCAGCTCATGACGTTTCTATAAATGAAAACAAATTATTTATATATATATATATATATATATATATATAATTTGCTTTCATTGTGATTTTTTTTTTGTCCATTGCGATGGACATCAGGTCAAAACAGGTGTACTTCCCAAAAATGTACCAACATGAAATAAATTAATAACATAAATTTTGTTGGTCTATACTTTAAGGTTTTTCTCAAGGTCAAAAAAAATTCCAGCAGTATACCATTTCAACTATAATTTTGAGGTTTTTGTTTTACAGATTGCACATTGTTTGTAACAAACTAAATATATTCGAATCAATCAATCTGGTCGTATTAGAGTCATTTTCTGTGTGCATCTTTCTTTTTTTAGAACAAAAACTTGAACATTATAACATTACAACTTTAATCGTAAGGTTTTTCCTTTATATTGCACATTTGTTTATTCATAACAAAATAAACCTAGGAATCAATCAATGCATTCATATTAGAGTCATTTCCTGTGTGCATCCTGTGTTTTCTTGTATTTTTACAGTACTGGCAGGACGGTTGCCAGCAAGTCACTGTATTTCGATTTCCAGTAACTCTAGCTAGTCCAAGGCCGAAAAAAGGTCCATTCCGTCGTTGGGCCGTAGGCAAACGGACGTGGGTTGGTGGACGAGGGGGCCGGCCCCCCGCCCACTGACACGCCCTCATCCCACAAACCCACTATTTGTCCAATAACCCACTATATTTACCAAATGTCCCGGGACCATTCCTGGGCCACGCCCCCGTCCCACGAACCCACTATTTGTCCAATGACCCACTATATTTTTTAAAGTTTTTCCGCAGTTCATTCAATATGCTACAATTGGACGCGGTCCCACCGGCAATCTATTGAATGGGGATTCGGGTAGTGTTTATTTGTTTATTTGCACTCAGGTCTAAGTCTCATGGCCCTCCATCAGAATCCAGAGTTTTGAGAAGATTGGAAAAACTTATTTTTTCGCACCGAAAAAAAACCCCGAAAGGGGTACCACTGTCGGTTTTTTTTGGAGGGTCGAAATTTTGAGTTCCTCTAATCTTCTTGAAAATCTGGATTCTGATAGAGGGCCATGGGACGTAGACCTGAGTGCCAAAATGGAGTCTCTAGACTCTTCCATAGCGGCGATATTGAGATGCAACGTAGCATTTATGCCATATATCTCAATATCTCAGCTCTGGAGGGGTCTAGAGCCTCCATTTTTGCACTCAAGTCTAAGTCTCACGACCCTCTATCAGAATCCAGAGTTTCAAGACGATCAGAGAAACTCAAAATTTCGACCCCCCCCCCCAAAAACGACAGTGGTACCCCTTTCGTTTTTTTTTTTGGCGAAAAATTAAGTTTCTCCAATCTTCTCAAAACTCTGGATTCTGATAGAGGGCCATGAGACTTAAACCTGAGTGCAAAAATGGAGGCTCTAGACCCTTACGGAGCTGAGATATCGAAACTCAAAAATTCGACCCGAAAAAAAACGACAGTGGTACCCCTTTCGTTTTTTTTTTTTGGCCGAAAAATTAAGTTTCTCCAATTTTCTCAAAACTCTGGATTCTGATAGAGGGCCATGAGACTTAAACCTGAGTGCAAAAATGGAGGCTTTAGACCCTTCCAGAGCTGAGATATCGAAACTCAAAAATTCGACCCGAAAAAAAAAAACGACAGTGGTACCCCTTTCTTTTTTTTTTTTTGGGCGAAAAATTAAGTTTTTCCAATCGTCTCAAAACTCTGGATTCTGATAGAGGGCCATGAGACTTAAACCTGAGTGCAAAAATGGAGGCTCTAGACCCTTCCAGAGCTGAGATATCGAAACTCAAAAATTCGACCCCCCAAAAAAAAACGACAGTGGTACCCCTTTCGTTTCTTTTTTGGGCGAAAAATTAAGTTTCTCCAATCTTCTCAAAACTCTAGATTCTGATAGAGGGCCATGAGACTTAAACCTGAGTGCAAAAATGGAGGCTCTAGACCCTTCCAGAGCTGAGATATCGAAACTCAAAAATTCGTCCCCCCAAAAAAAACGACAGTGGTACCCCTTTCTTTTTTTTTTTTTGGGCGAAAAATTAAGTTTCTCCAATCTTCTCAAAACTCTGGATTCTGATAGAGGGCCATGAGACTTAAACCTGAGTGCAAAAATGGAGAATCTAGACTCTTCCGGAGCTGAGATATCGAAACTCAAAAATTCGACCCCCCCCCCAAAAAAAACGACAGTGGTACCCTTTCGTTTTTTTTTTTTTGGGCGAAAATTAAGTTTCTCCAATCTTCTCAAAACTCTGGATTCTGATAGAGGGCCATGAGACTTAAATCTGAGTGCAAAAATGGAGGCTCTAGACCCTTCCAGAGCTGAGATATCGAAACTCAAAAATTCTACCACCCCAAAAAAAACGACAGTGGTACCCCTTTCTTTTTTTTTTCTCGGGGGAAAAATTAAGTTTCTCCAATCTTCTCAAAACTCTGGATTCTGATAGAGGGCCATGAGACTTAAACCTGAGTGCAAAAATTGAGGCTCTAGACCCTTCCAGAGCTGAGATATCGAAACTCAAAAATTCGACCCGAAAAAAAAACGACAGTGGTACCCCTTTCGGTTTTTTTTTTCAGGCGAAAAATTAAGTTTCTCCAATCTTCTCAAAACTCTGGATTCTGATAGAGGGCCATGAGACTTAAACCTGAGTGCAAAAATGGAGGCTCTAGACCCGTCCAGAGCTGAGATATCGAAACTCAAAATTTCGACCCAAAAAAAAAAAAACGACAGTGGTACCCATTTCGTTTTTTTTTTTTTGGCGAAAAATTAAGTTTCTCCAATTTTCTCAAAACTCTGGATTTTGATAGAGGGCCATGAGACTTAAACCTGAGTGCAAAAATGGAGGCTCTAGACCCTTCCAGAAATGAGATATCGAAACTCAAAAATTCGACCCAAAAAAAAAACGACAGTGGTACCCCTTTCGTTTTTTTTTTTTCGGGCGAAAAATTAAGTTTCTCCAATCTTCTCAAAACTCTGGATTCTGATAGAGGGCCATAAGACTTAAACCTGAGTGCAAAAATGGAGGCTCTAGACCTTTCCAGAGCTGAGATATCGAAACTCAAAAATTCGACCCAAAAAAAAAACGACAGTGGTACCCCTTTTGTTTTTTTTTTTTGGGCGAAAAATTAAGTTTCTCTATCAGAATCCAGAGTTTTGGGAAGATTGGAGAAACTTAATTTTTCGCCCGAAAAAAAAAACGTAAGGGGTACCACTGTCGTTTTTTTTTTTCGGGCCGAATTTTTGAGTTTCGATATCTCAGCTCTGGAAGGGGCTAGAGCCTCCATTTTTGCACTCAGGTCTAAGTCTCATGGCCCTCTATCAGAATCCAGAGTTTTGGGAAGATTGGAGAAACT